AAACAGCAAGCACCAAGCAATTATTGGTCTTTGCAACATTAAATAATAAATTTTATTTTTACAATTAGATTAGTCTCAGAAGTTCAGAATCTATCTTTTCCAGCCTTGCTTCCTCTTCAGCATACAAAAAAATTTAATGAGTACTTGTTTTGTTCTATTAAAAATAGATATCATTCGTTGTTGTAGTCCAATTACCAGCAAATAATAGGCGCACCTGAATTATTATAAGATGGTCTGGATTTTATATTATTTTAATGTGTGATCAGCCTCCGCACTAGAAATTTATATAGAGCAGGTGTTCATCAAAGTGGGCCTCATCCCTGATCACCTTTTCTTCATAAATTCTTAGTGTGTAGACTGATCATAAACTGCCATCGGATATCATTTCGACTGTGGGGTTCGCGAAACTAAGATTTGTTATCAATTATTTATAGTACATTTAATTTATTGTCAACAAAAACTGCTATTATGTATATTGATTAGTTAGCTCTTCATATGATTTGCAGTTCATGCAAGGAATGTGCTTGTGAACGTAAAGAAATTTGCCACTTTAAATAGGAAATTAGCAACGTTACATTCCCGAAGATACTTGTTACTCAAATGTAGTTTGCATAGCCAATTTGTACATATAAAAAAATCTTTTTACTTATAATAGGGGAAGACTCCAGCTACCGAAAATAAAGCGTAAGATACTTAAGCACATACTGGTTTTATATATAAATTTCCCCTTAATCATTTTACGTTTAATTATGCTTGTTATTGTATGAGTCATATTTTAAGATAAAATGTGCCTTATATTTAATGCAGTCTGGGCGACAAAGGTGCAATAATGCCCTGGAGCCAACTGAATATAATTTTGTAACAAATTACCGTAAATCAAAACTTATATGCAATAAAATCCATACATACTCAAATGTAGTAAAAAATTATGTTTTTTCCCACCCATGTAGCAAACAACATAAAATCGATTTTTGATCTAATGTCTAGTCATACCCCTTACAGTTCAACAGCAAATCGGATTTTATTGTGAACCAAGACCGCAAATTTGAATTTTAAAATGAAGAATAAATACCATGCCGAGTTGGGAGACCAAACATAAAGATATGAAAACCTTGATCCAATGGTTCAATAATAATCTTCCTATCCTAAAAGTCATTTGGATAAACAATGTATTGATAAATTGTTTTGTGATGAAAATGAAAAATTAAATAATAAATATAAGCATTTAACATTGTCATAATTGGGAAATCTGAACAACTATGGAACTAACCGTAGTGATTTTTTTTGTGTTTTTTTTCCTTTGCCTCAATGTATCGGCCATTATTTTATTGTTAATTTAATAGAAATAGGTTCCCAATGAGTCGACCAAAAGTAAATATTCCCTACCATACCAAAAAATATACCCATTGGAGAATAATAATAACAAACATAGAAAGTGTGGTATCTGAAGTAAGGGATCAAAACCAACAAAACATAATTATTAATAGAAAAAGTACGATCTTATTTTGTTATCAACCAACTTTGATACACTCTGGATTTGATTATTGGGTAGGACCACGTACCCAATAAAATCTCAAATCCAGAGTTAATATTGTACAAAATGGTCTAAACAAACTTAGGCAAAACTCGGGGAGGAATAATGATTTGTTAGTAACGGTTGGCAAAACAAAGAAATTCATGAAGGATGATGATGAATTGTTAATTACTAAGGCAGATAAAGGTGGTAAAACTGTGATTGTTATGAAGATCAATGTACAGAAAGGATGTCCACACTATTAAATGATATCTATAAAATTAGAACACGAGATTCCACACATCATTTGGAAAAACGTTGTAACAAGCTATTGGATGAATTATATACGCATTGATAAAAAAAAAAGGCACCTAAAAAAAGCACCTAAAGTTTATTAAAGGCACACAGATCCAAAAGTGTCTTCCTAAGTTTCACAGGCCATATGTTCCTTACATACCTATTGTTAGTAGTGTGGGTTCTCCTGGCTTTGCTAGTTAGCTACATATATAAAAAAATATTGACTAATTTGGACTTACATAAAAATATAATGTTAAGGATTCTTTTGAGTAAAAGGCCTCATCCTTGATCACCTTTTCTTCAAAAATATTATTTTAAACAATAACATAATTTAATCAATATGACTTAGAAAAAAGTTAATACTAACTACAATATCAAAAAAACAACAGTACTCATTAAATTGTTTTATATAGATTTTTGTTAAAGAGGAAACAAGGCTGCTTTGAAATATATGCAATTTATAAAAAAAGCAATCAGGTTGTGTATGTTCTTCAGAAGCAAGTAACTAACAAAATCTTTAAAAAGAAGCAATCTTTTGAATAAGAACAATTATAAACAAACTTAATTATTTTATTTGACCCAAGTTTATATTGGGTTTAATTTCACAAATAGATATGTATCAATAGAGAAACGAAGTCGTGGAGTAATAGTAAAATCTGATTAGGGCAGATGTTTGGCCCTTGACAATTTTATTGAGTTTGAGACTAGTGGGCCTTTTGAGGATTTATCAATAGAATCACTGTGTAGGAAAGGAAAAGGTCAGCCAATGCATAAAAAGGGCAAAGAAGTTCTCAATGTCCCTATTTCATAAACATGTATTTTCGTTTTTTATTCAACTGTTGTCCTCTATGATGCCTGTGTATTGCTCAATTTATACTTAAAATTTGCACTTAAAGTTAAATAGTGAAACGTATTTTTTTCTGGGATAAATTTATTTCACAATTAAATCTGTTGATATGTTTTATTTAAGGTTGTGAAACTTTCGAAAAGAGTTTTATGTCTTGAAATGCTTTTTTATAATTTATTCATAAAAAGTAATTTCCCAAAGGTCTTGCACAAATGTTATCAACCCAATTTGTAAATACCAGAGGTCTGTGAATATTTGAAGTTATTACAGTGTTAATGAAAGTTAACACAGGGCAACGCTGAACTTCCTAGTGCGGTGAAGTGATCAATTTAGAGATATTTATTTTTCAAAAATACCCTGTTCCAATTCATCATTTGTACATTTATTCTCCATCGTTGTGATAACATTTGTCTAAAGTTTTCTCATAAGAAATAAGTTGGGATTACCTACAGGACATATTTGCAATCATTTAAGTAATTTTTAAAGGGATTGATCAAACAAGGCGAAGCGACACCAAATCAGAAATGAAATATGTCGAAACCATTGGAAACTACATAGTTATTTTACCTTTCAATACTCTTCCAATTCAATCTTTTCTTTTCTCAGTCCAAAAACTATGCTCTACTATTATTGAAGGCCATAGATTGAAAAATTCTTGTCTGCATAATTTTACTTTTAAGGAAGGTTTATTTCTTTATGTTCTTTTGTTTCCATTCTACCAATCCTGTTTATCAGTTAACTTTTTATAGCTGAAAATTATGTAGTAACAATTGCATAAATCACATCTGAAGTTCAATGGACAGATCAACATTAAAAACTGCTTACTAAATACTACACATTAAAAACACTGTTTAAGCATTACTTCATATTGACAAACTTAGTTTTTTAAACCATTTGTTTGTTAATGAACAGAAAAAGCATTATGCCTTAAACGACAAAAATATTACAGCAATGACTATAGTGTTACTTCATGTTGTCAACGCCAGAAAGTCAAAAATTCAAACTGGTCATATCACAAATAATCCACATCAGAGAATGTACAAATCTAATTTTTTTTACTCAAGAGACTAGAAATTTAATGTATATAATGAATGTTGGAGATTCATTGATGTCAAATTAAGTACATATTAGATTTTTTTCAATTTTCTTCATCTTCAGTCAATACCTAAATTATCAGTGTTTTCAAACTTCAAATTGGGTCAAATACTGTATAAATTTAGAAATTCTTAACATTGATTACCTGGCTGAAGATCAGTGAACTTCAGTTGTTATTAGGCTGAAGGCAAAATTAACTCTTCAGTGGGTGAAATTAAAAAAAAATGTTTTGAAATAACCAAGATGATTCAGCAGTGTCAAATTTAGAGCATATAGGCTTTTTCAATTTTATAAATTTATTACCTTACTATATAAATTAAGGCAGTGTTTTCAAATTTCAAATTTGAATACTGTATAAACATAGCCATTCTTAGTGGGAAATGGTTTACATCAACAGAGATAAACACAGCATCAGACAGAACAGATATATGTAAACTCAGCTGCAGCTATGCTAATATCATAAATAAAATTCGACATCAATCATCCTGGCTGAAGAACAATTACTTCAGGCATGAACCGGCTGAAGACCTAACAGTATAATTGACACTCCAGTGGATGAAATTTAAAAAAAATGTTTTTAAACAACTGTTTCAAATTTAGCACACAGACTTTTTCAGTGTTTTCAAACTTCAAATTGGATCAAATAGTGTATATGCTGCTAACTTTTTATATAACATGGATAAAGATTCGTTAACTTCTGGCATGTGCAAGCTGAAGACCTATCAGCAGAATTGAGACTCCAGTTTATGTCATTGCGAACAGAAATATGTAGAAATGAAAAAGTTATTAGGAAGGAGGGCATAAGTAACCTACCTACGAACAAACCCATTGAACAACCGATTTATATTCGTATATATTTACAAATTATTTTTAGAATTGATGTAATTATTTGATCTTGTAAGCATGAATTAATAACGGGGGGGGGATTTCAGGGCCGAACATCATATGCACTCACCCTAACCGAAATTTATGGGCTCATGCCTTAACCCTAGATTGTTCCGACCTAGAAGATAGAACATTCGGGAATTCGTGACAACGACGTGAAGAATTTCAGAATCTTGTCTTCTTTCTTCTGTGTAAGAATCACAATCGTGTGATTCGTGTGACAATAGAAAATCGACTGAACGTGTAAGAAGTTTAACAAGAGGTTCGGACTGTTAATGGGATTCGTTGCATTGTGACCGAAGAGTCAATCCTAAGTTGAAAAATGGGTGAAAAGTTAAATGAACAACTTAACTATTGACATACCTGTCTTGTTCCGGTCGTTTCGGATTCCTGATATTTCTTCCCTTCCAGCCTCTCCATTATGCAGTCTTCTTCATCCGAGTGTGGACCCTTGGATTTTCTCTTATTGTTGAAAATACGCGAAAACGCGTTCCACATGAAAACTTCACGGCTCGGATATCATAATAGGCCCCGTCGTCCGAGGGTAATCGTCTCTTCGATGTTTAACTTTTCTCGTTCGCACCTATCATGACACGTTAGGTTATGCTCGGGAAAAGTCGCTGATAAATTGGCCGAATCGCTTACCGGCGAGAAGGGAGGACAACGTTGGATTTTTCAACGGGGTGAAACTTAAGAATCGACGAACGCAGGGACAAACGGAAAAAAACGAAATAAATCAACGATTGGGACTTATCAAAAGGTGAAAAGTTGGAGAAATCACATAACTAGAAATCGCTGTTCAGCCGATCCTTTTAACCGTCCTGACACTCGGCACACATTCAAGACCGTTTAGCAATGCCGTTCGAAGATCTGGCCACCAAAAACTTTTTTCCGGACACTTTCTTTGGACTTTTAATGTGAATCATCCTCCGGCATTACTGTCCCATCTCTCCAGTCCAGTGGAGGTGGTCGCTGGCGCAAAGAGAAGGATAATAAAAACTTCAACGCCATCTATGCGGCGACATGAACGAAGAACGGTTCCACAGATTCCCGCTCAAACTACGACATTCAAAAAAAGTCCGCTCACCACCAGCAACAACATTGTACAACAACTGCAATATTATTTAATACGAATTTTTCAAGAAAAAATTATAAATTCAGAAACAAAAAACTCTAAACGAAAAACGCATTGGGAAAGCAATATGGGATGCGAATTCAAGCAAAACTTCACGCTCCGCAAGATTCTCACCAACTAAATGAAATTCATAATGTTCTAAACATCTCAATCCTCCATGGATCAGCTTGGAGCCAGCAGAAAAAGCTGCGACGACTCTCAAAACAATTACAATTAATTTCAGATAAACATAGAATATAATCCATTTTATTTCGTGTTCCAATTGACCAAAACCACTTAGTTCAATTATTTACCAATTAACTAATTTCATTTCAACCAATACCTTACATATAGAATAGAATGTGTAGTATTCTTCTGATAACTTTAAATTAGCCTTCAAAAATTATAAAACTATTCACACCCTTTTTTCCAAAATTAAAAATCCCACACCTGTAACAAATAAGCCTGATGTAATTTACAAAATCAATTGTATAATTTTTCCAGCAACTTACATCACAATTATATCCCAATAAGAGGGTAAAACAACATATCTATGATTCCAAAAAACCCAAACAAAATCCTACAGCATTGGCCACCCATCATTTTGAACACCAACACAATTTCAACAATCCAAAAATAGTTATTCAGATATCGTGAGATGCGGTCGGGTGTGATGTAGGTTTCAGAAAAACATTTTCTTTATCGTGCCAATCCAAAAATATTAAACACAGAACAAAACAAACAAAAAAGTAACTTTTTAGAAATGGTTTACATCAACTGTGTCAAATTTAGCACATATTACACATTTTCAATGTTTTCAAACTTCATGAACCCCGTATATGTGCATACATAAGCATGCTATTTGGCGAATGCCAAGACGAGCATCGCGAGACTTGGCAAATGTTCAGCAGCATTAGCCACCTTTAGCATTAGCAAACTATTTGTCAAATTAAAATCTCATCAGACTTTGCCTTTTATTGCTTCCTCAAATATCCCCCAATGTCCATATCTTGGCCCCTGTTTATTCCAGATCTTCATTGATGTTCTTACATACAATCAGTTACTTCTATTTGTTGACGACCTTAAAATTTTAAAAGAGCTCATTTAGAGACTTCCGTAGTTGCTTGTGTCTCAATGTATTTGTTAAATGTATTTTTTTTAGCATAAATGTATGTTCTGAGGTAGATGGGAAATATTAAATACCCCACAGGCTATTAAAAAAGAAATACAGTTAATATAATATACATTTGCAGTGCAATTATTATTTATTTTCAAAATACATTCAAAGAAAGGAGTAATTCAAGAACTTTATGACATAAAAAATACTAAAGGCACAGAAGTATTTTGTTCAAATTTAATACAAAGATTTCCTCAATATTTAAGTAAAACATTTAAAATTAGTTGTAAAGCTATCACAGTAAACAAATATTTCATAATATAAAAGCATGGCACAGGTTATTAAAAAAAATGTTTTTAAAAGAGTACATGCTCAATAAAAAATAGGTAAGTCTTCATTTTGAGATTATCACAACATACAAGGCACTAAGGCAAGTTACTGTTTAATGACACCCACAACTCTTAACGACCATGTTTTTATATTTTTTAAGCAGCACATTTGAATCATCGACATAGTACAGCACAGATATCGGCGTCAACTTGGTCGGAGCGCAGCATGGCTTTGGAACTTGGAGCGGGTTAATCAGGTGAACGAGCGTCTGAACGATAGCATGATTTGTAGCGTTCATGTGGGCGTTTAAAGGGAAATTGCATTCACCGCTACAATAAAATGCGCCATAGCCATCAGGTGCAATTATCCAATCCTGTAAATGTAAACGGTTTTGCTTAAAGTTAAACCTGAGGCAATTTTGGTCACGATTTAACATACCTGCCATTCGAGGTCACGAAAGCTGACGTAAAGTGTCTGAATTTGACAGCTCCTCTGACTATGCTGCCATATATGAGGTGGTTCTAAAAAAAAAACACACATAAATGATAAAAGAACGGGTGGTCATTGTTTCTTCCAAAATTTTACTCAACATCCATAATACAGAAATTATTTATGTACTATTTTTACCTAAAAGAGGACTACGGCTATAAGGATTTTCAGACTGGTCTGCCTTCTTTTTTCGATTTTTCACTTGCCTCTTGACTCTCTGTTTGCTTTCCGTACCGCCTTGGAGAAATGCTACCATAAATGGCTGTTTGTCTATTTCGTTGTTGTCTTTGTTCCCTGGTAAAGTTGTGATTCCAAGCTTTTCTGCATGGATTATATTACCTGAATAGAGTAAACAACAGTTATTAGTGTGACAAACCTTTTAAGTATTTTATTTCCATTTGATAATTACCTGGAGAATCATGTGGGTATATTCTCAAATAAAGTCCTTTGTTTGAATCTGGGAAGGCTACCCAGTTGGTGAACACACCAGTCACATTGAATATAAGCCAACCTTCATTGTCGTAAGTCGTATTTACAGAATCGACAAACTCCAGTGAATTTTTGCTGCAATCGTTTAATAAAACTTTAACTTCTTAATGTGCGATAAAGTTTGTAATTTAATTGAAATATACTGACTTTTCTTTTTCCGAGAGAACCATGTAAACTGACACAGTAAATAGATTATCACTTTTAATTGTGTAATTAGAACTTTGGTAAAGCCTGAGCTCAGCCCCCATTATCGTCTGGCTTGGCGAGACTTCAGACACATCAAATAAGAGCCGTTTTCCTTTTTCATGCCTCATATTTGGTAAATCTTGATCTGAAAATGTGCAAAATTAAATAAAAAATATAGCGATATTTTATTTAAACAATATTAAAGCATGAGTGAAAGGTTTGTTCTGTAAAAGACTTAACTGTAAAATAATGACCACAAATCTTTTGCCCCCAATGAACTGATCAATCTGATACTTTGGTATTGTGGACATGATAAGCAAAATATCCTTTGTACAAATGTCATTTTTATTAAGCTGTTATAAAATTTGATAATAATTATAATAATGATTAATTAGAGATCGTGCGATGCCTTCTGGTGTGACGTAGGTTTAGAAAAACATTTTCTTTATCATGCCAGCGTTTCGATCTTAATTGACAACATCTTCAGGGCCTGGGATTTACAAAAAATTGTTTAAATTATGCAAATACGTGTAGGATATGAAAAAATGAATTTATACAATGCTAGAAGTTTTAGAGTCAATCAAAGAATGTGTACTCACTCAAAGTGTTTGTTTTCTATGCAGCTGTGTCATTACTGTGTGTCATGTTGAGAGTGTCAGTACGATATTGATGTTTTATGTATAGATACGTTGGATTTTGAAGGAGTGGGGAAGGATGTAGGGATTGAAAAACATTTTTATACGAGGAGTACGGCTTCTTTGAGGTGAAAGGAGCCAACAATGGAAAAGAATGGGTAATGGTTTGGCCTGATTAACCTTTCAGGATTATACGTTAGATGTGAGGACTGTAATGATTGTTTTATATGTTATATGTTTTGTGTGATTTGATGATGATACATGTATGTTATTGATATTGAATTTGACTAATTAGCGTAGCTGCGACTGAGTTTACATGTGTCAATTCTGTAATTGATGCTGTGTTTAACTCTGTTGATGTAAACCATTTCTAAGAAGTTACGTTTATGTTTGTTTTGTTCTGTATGTAATATTTTTGGATTTTTGAAGTCGAAACATTTCTAAGAAATTACGTTTATGTTTGTTTTGTTCTGTATGTAATATTTTTGGATTGAAGTCGAAATTGTGTTGGTGTTCAAAATGGTGGGTAGCCAGTGCTGTAAGATTGTTTAGAAAAACATTTTTTAAACGTTTTTCTACATCACACCAGACTGCATCACGATATCTAAATAATCTTAATTAATGTTCACTAAATACTACACAATTATAATAATAATAAACAGCTAAAAAATAGAATGGGAATGATCAAACTATATTTTCATCACTGCAGCAATGTTTTTTTTTTTTTTTAAATGGGGCGAACAACATGAAATCATTTCAGCCCCCTCTCAATATTCCGCCATCAATCATCTCATTAATTTCATTAATTACACTCTCACAATAGTTTAATTATTTATAAATTCCACATTATATATAGTTAGTTATTTAGGTTTACCAACTCCATAAAAATAAAAATAAAATAAAAAAATGTGTAATGAAACTTTAAAGGTTCAATTTTATAATAAGTTAAGGGTCGGAAAGATCAACAAAATACAAATAAAGCATGAGAGTCTAGGAATAGACTGACTGGGAGGATAGAAAAAAATCAGTGTGGAAAATATTGACAGAAAGCAAGATTTGTGTCGTACTTCCTAATTTTATTGACAAAACTTATAAACATACACATAAACGCAGTTTATACAATTTCTATATGTGAGTAACACCCCCCCCCTTAAGAAATAATAGAAAAGGGGACCCAACATTTGAACCATCCAGGACTCATGCCTGCTCGCACCCTGTAAGGGGCCAAGGCTCTTCAATCAGACCTTCCTCTATAAACAGTCATGATTCAACCCAAATTCTTTTTCCATCTTTTTTTTATGGTAAAGCCATAGAGAATAAATTTTGAATTGTAATATGAGCGTGGTTTAGAATTAATTTATCAGTAATACGTAAAATATTTTACTGGTAATATTAAATCACCGCCTTATTAATTGAACTGATATCAGGAAGATAGAAAACAAAGATAGATTTAGTATCTAATTAATCAAAAATAATTAAACAGTCTTTAGATAGCCAAATCAAAATTATTGCCAACCACTATAAATATACTTTCATTCATTCTGTTTTTATGGGATGCTAATTTGGGCCAAATTTGCCTGTGGATAGTGGATAGACAATGAATGTAGTGAGTGTATTCTAGGTGATGGTTAAGGAATGTCATAATCATTTAAAAAAATATATAATTGATAAACTAAATTACATATTCTTGTATGAAAATTATTTTATTTATTTTTAAAACTTGGAAATTACAATTGAAAGTTCATGAAGTATCCCAAGAAATTGTTGTTTTATTCACTGAAATCTACACTTGATAAATTTTATAGAAAGGCAGCCTTTATTGAATCAGAAATGTTTTATAAGACATGCTGCTATTTATTGAATATTTATCCCCAATTTGACAGGCCTTGGGTACCCTGTGCTGATGACCATCTTTTTATTTTTGCTATAACATTTGGCCACAAGACTCGGTGACATATAGCAAGCAAAAAAATGACTCCCACTGTTTTGCTTATTTAAATAATTTTTAGTTTAAGTACACTAATTTAATAAAAACATATTTCAAAACGCAGGCAGCCTTGTATTTCATGTAAATAAACTTTCATTCCATAAGAAAAATTGTAATATAAAGTGACCTAAATAAATCTAAATGGATCATTTTTTTATACTCAAACAAGCTATGATTATGCCTGGGGCAAGTAAAGAAGTGTATATTTGTGTACTGTATATATTACAGAATTAGACTTCTCAAAGTTTGTTTACTCAGGTGTTTTAGCAGTCAGGGATCAGACCTTATTCTTATCCATCCAAACCGCTTAACGCCCTGAGGCTATCATTTCAGGCCTCAACAAATGCAGTTTTTAACCTAAGCATACTCACACTCATTCTTATATGCACTGACAGGAAAAAAATTCAACCCACTTGTAATAAAAGTTGATATATGTATATCAAAGTTTCACATTTTTTAACGTTGTTTCAGAATTCAAATGAGATTTTTAAAATTCCGTAAAAAGACAACATTGAAAAATCCGTTATCTGTTGATTAAGGATTAAGTGTATTTTCTTCTAATTCATATTCCCAATTTAAAACATAGAACAAACAAATATTTATTGGTAAAAACAATAAGACAAATCAAGGGCAGAATTTTCTTTTACCGAAAAAAAAAAAAAAAAAAAAATCAATTGGGTGGAATTTTTTGCCTGTCAGCGTAAATTCTTTCCTATAAGCATAATTTCTCAGGTGGAGACTGATAGGATAAAGTAATTAACTTTTATTTGCACACTAGTGGTTCTGGGTCCAAATCTTGGCATAGCCCATGACTTTTTAATTGAATTTGAAAATAATGTGAAAAAAAGTATTGTAAAGTAGTTTGAACCCTCATCCATAATA